CTAACTCTCCTATTTTTTCTTTCTATTCTTATCCCAACAAGACCAAAACTGCATCTAAAACATAAGATGTCACTCTTATCTTTCCAAGAGTCTTTCCTGTTTCAATATTGCTTTTGTACCTAAAAAAGAAAACAATGAAGACTGAAGATAAGATCACATTTTAATTTTATGAAATGAAAATTTTAACATTTCTAAATGGCAACACTTTATAGTTCCCTGAATCTGCAAATACTTATGTCTCTTGATTTAAAATACTCAACCTTAAACACATATATACCTATGCAATATATAAATTTTAGAAATACTATGTTCTTTCTCATCTAACTAGTAGTTAAAACTTATGTTACCTATATGCTTCATTTATATTCAGATGATTCTTCCAGCTCTTCTGCCTGTGAATTAGAGAAGTTATTTGTACAATATCCAAGGATAGAAAGGATACAACCAGATTGTATCTCTAATTTAAAAACAGGTACATTTGGAAGTTTTGTGTACAAGATTTGTTTGTGCTTTTATTTTTATTTTCACTTAACTTTTTGGTTTTAATCACAATTATATTGCCATCATTTCAGAAAAGTTTATGAGCTGTGTCTTTTAGCAGGTGACTAATTTCATGTTTTTCCTGCCACTCTATCTTCCTTTAACCATACTTTCACTGGAGTAACTCCTAAAATGTTTTCTAAAAGTCCTAAAAAATCGTCAAACAATACCTAGAATTTTAAGAAAAGAATAAAATCTAGACTCTTCAATCAGCTTAAGCTATAAGGGGTTTCACAACTGGTTATCGCTTGCCTACTGTGTTTCATGGACTATGTAGGCCCTGGGCAAGGATGGTTACTGTCATGGATGCTGCAGTGCACAGCCCAGATCTCCCTTCAGGACTGAAGCTCTCATTCCTCTAGCTGCCAGGAGTTCCTAGCTGAGTCCCTCTCTGGTAATTACTTTCAACTGAAGGGAACCTCTTCACTCAAGATCACTCCTCCTTCTTGGGAGCAGCTGGTGTCCATTGACTGGTATGTGCAGGGAGATAAAGGCCCTCTCCCCGAGCTTCAAGGAAGGACCACTCTGCAGGGCCATCCCAACTCCACACTTTGTGGAACCATTAAAAGCTTTTGTTGTAACTGCATCATAGTTCAACTCCTCCCTCTGCCCAGGAACTTTCTGCACTCTCCCACATGTATGGACCTCAAAGACACTCTTCAATAACTTCCTGCATGCAAATCTGTTTCCTAGGAAACTCAACCTATGACTATGGCTCCATGTTGGGAAAGAGGGATGGTCACAGTTTGGTTGTGGAGGTTGACATAAACCATTAAATCAAGTACTTTCTAGTTAGTGTCATAGGAGAAGCATCATACAATCTTACGAGAGTGGAAGAAATTACTAATTTTGTTTGGAGTATAGCAGAGGAAAAATTAGGAAAGACTTTGCAGAAGAGGTGAACATTTAGCTTAACTTTGAAGAGTGAGTAGATATTTTCTAAGCAGAAAAGGATTTGAGTAGTCTGGCCTTGTAAAAGAACATAGTTTATCAAAGATGTGGCAGAGAGCTCAGTGGGGCAGGGTGAGAGCAGTAGAGATGGACGAAAACGAGGTTACAAAGCACACTACTGGTTTTGAAAGTTCTTCTGCTGGAGTGTGCTCTTCCCTCCTCCTGCCTCCCCATCTATCAAACAGGGCACCCCTACTCCACGTACAAGATGTAATTTGAGTAGAGTAGATATACTTAGAGACATCCTTCTTCCACTTATTTGCTTTAAAACTTATTTCTCTTTTTTATTTTCTTATAAACTATTTTATTTATTAACCATTTCATTTTAACCTACTTTAAAAAAGCTTCATGTTTATCTGAAGAGTGCATCTTTTCATCTAGCTTGAAAATAAGCTGTAAGAAGACACAAAGATCATCTCTGGTGCTTGAAATTCCACCATTAGCAATTTCTGGAATTGCAAGTGAGAAGACATTGTAAAGGTTCTGTAGTCCAGGTTTCTGGCACATGAACCCTCCTTTCAAGGCTCAGAAGAGGGGTTATCCAGTTGTTTTTAATATAGCTCTAGTAATGGAAACATTGGCCTTTTCCTACTGTTGTTTACACTGATATATCACAGAGTAATAAAATTGCAGAGTTGAAATTTATCGTTATTGTACAATGAGAAAACTGAGGTCTACACAGAAGAAATTACTTACTCAGAGTCATCCAGTGAATGTTGACAAAGCCAGAAGGACAGCTCATATTCTTCATCTACCAACTTTCCCTCTCTATGGTTACATAATAAATTCGTCAGATCCCTCTATGAATTATTGTGAGTCAGGAACCTGGGGTAGTCCCACTTCTGCCCCTAGTGAACTCCATGACTCAGGTCCTCAGCACTGTATCAGTGCTCCAGGTCCATTTTCTCACCTGTGAAATCAGAGACCTGGACTAGAGAAAATCCCAGGGCCTTCCTTCCTGACATTGTAAGTCTGTCTTTTTTCTAAGAGAAGATATGTCTAAGGGTCCTAGTGGACCAACTGGAAACTGAAAGGAGAAGAGTACAGTAAAGGGAGCTGGCTAGAGAAGGTTAATATATCTTCCTCCACCATTTGCTAGCCTAAGCTTCCAGTCAGCTGCATTCTTGGAAACTTTATTTTCTCTTTTGGGGGCATTTTACAATAGACTCACTTTAAGCATATTTTACACTATTTTTCCTTTGTAGTGGAAATGTTCAGATTACCTGTCCTTGCATGATGCTTCTGTAGACCATAAAGTCTTTCCTTAGAAACTGACTCAAGCTTATATGTTGCTGCTGCTGGTTTGAGCAAATGGGCTGAATCTTGCAGCCAAGCCTCAATGCAAACAAAAACATTTTCTGGTCAAGCATTTTCTGGTTTGTTCAACTCCATTACAGGGCTGGCTTAAAAAAAAAAAAAAAGTAAAACCCACAGAGAAGCAAAACACAAGCCCTGAGAAGACAGTTTCCAGCCACATTAGCTCAGATCACCAGGGTAGAAAAGAAGCAGGGCCCTCATTGTCCAGACCATCGTCATCACCAGACTCTCATCTTATGTTCTTCTGCTATTTTAATTTCACCACTTCAAAATGGGGGAAAAAAATAGGTTAATAGTTTCCATGAGTTTAGACTGTGACCAGAGGCGTACTAAGCAATTTCAGAACCGCTGGCAACCGCAGCTTTGGGGAGCGCACGATGATGGATTTACCACTTCATCTTGGGATAGGTTCCAGAGGCAGGGTTGTTGGGCCAGCAATGTGCTGCCAGGGTAGGATGTAAACAATATTCTTTCATTCATTCTTTTTGCACACATTCATCCTGGGCTTATTTTTATTCCAGGTGGTATGTCAGATATAGTATGGGACAGAGAAATACATTCTTAAGACATAGTCCCTGCCCTTAAAGAAAGTGCAGTCTAGTAGAGGAAATAGACTTATGCACAAATAATGTTAGAGAGAAAGAAACAATTTATTCCAACTGAGGGCATCGAGGAATGCTTCACTGTAGAGTTGCCTTCTGACCTCTACCTTGAAAGGTCAGAATGGCAAATTGCAATTCATTCCAGGCATTGGCCAATGCACAGAAGTATGGAAGTTTCTCATAGCTTTGAACAAGAGTAAGCAGTCGAAGTCTTCAGGGGAATCTGAGCCTAGAGAGGGAGGTTGAATGATGTCAGGTAAGGAACTAGCTCATTCACATTGTGGAGCCATATAAGTTTTTGATAGCAGGAAAGTTATTTGGTCACATCTGTGTTTTGGGAAGGAAACTGGAAGTCACTTTGGGGATGGGGAAGTATGACAGAAGAAGAGAGATGCAAATAAGGAAGCCCGTCAGAAGCCATTGCTGTAGTTAAGACATCAGCACACTAGTTAACTATCCACAGGCACTTCTTGCCTCATAGCCATTTAAAGGTTCTTATGGTAAGAGGGCAATTACTCCTTAATTTCCACATCCCTTCCAGTTTGCATCTTTCTAATCAGATCCCCACCCCAGGTTTATTCTAGATTGTGAACTCAGTGAGTCAGCCCAGACATCTCGGTTGGAATATAGCATATTACATGTTAATCAAGGTTGTTTGGTAAGACAGCATGGGACTCTAGGAAAGGATGGAAAGTTAACAGCTGATTTTATCAATCTTCCTGAGTCCTGACTCCATAAATGATATCCCTTTCAAGGGGGGGGTATGTATTTTTAAAGCTCAGCATATTTTTAATGCCAGATAAATTAACTTTTTTAATTCACTTCTTAAAACTAGAGCCTCTCTAGGTTCAACATTTCCATAAATATTTTACAACACTAAACTTGGAGATGATGTTTGAATCAGGCTTTAAATGATCAAAAGCCTTACTCATTATGCTGAGTTCTGATTGGGTTCTGCAGCTGGCATGCTCTGCGAGTGTCTGTCATCAGACAGACCACGCTCTAAGATGTTAGAGTCCAAGGTGATCCCACCAGGTCTTTGATGATGAAGCAAGTTTTAGAAGTAGTAGTGAAGTGTTCTTCAAGTGGAGATCCTGAGTTGTATAGTTCAGGAGTCATCAAACCCCAGCCACGAGCCAAATCCAGCCCACTACCTGCTTTGTAAATAAAGTTTTATTAGAACACAACCATGCTTATTTGCTTATGTACTGTCTACAGCTCCCTATACACTACAATGGCAAAATTGAACTGTTGCAAGAAAGCCAGAACTATTTCCTGTATAGGCCTTTACACAAAAGTTTGCCATCGTCCCTGCTATAGTAGAAAGGAACAAGGATAGAAGCCAGAATTTATGTGCTCTAAATTCTGGATTTGTTGCTTACCTGAGTGACCTTAAAAAAGCCTCTTGATCCATCTAATTGTGTTTCTTTCTTTCTACAATAAAGATGTAGACTCTGCCTTCCTCCAAGTACTGTGAGAAGCACATGAGCCAATGTGTTCTGTAAAAGTGCTTGTCATGCTGTAAGTTCCTACATAAATGGAACTCCTCAAGTTCTAGCCTAACACTGGCCTTTTTCTTTCCCTCCACAGAATACCCTGGAGCAGTGCAGCGTATGCTCCAAGCCTATCATGGAGCGGATTCTCCGAGCCACTGGGAAGGCCTATCATCCTCACTGCTTTACTTGCGTCATGTGCCACCGCAGCCTGGATGGGATCCCGTTCACTGTGGATGCTGGCGGCCTCATCCACTGCATTGAAGACTTCCACAAGTAGGCAGTCTACTCTCCCTCCCCAGTCTGCCGGCCCTCTTGGAGTCTTTGCTGACTGCCTGGCCTCTGGGCCACACGTTCTTCTCTCTCAGAGCTATAGAATCTCAGGATTTGGTGGGACCTTAAAAAGAGCTTATTTATCCCCTCATCAGACACAGGAATTGATATCTGGTAATCCATGTGGTCCTCCATCCTAGCCTCTGCTTCAAGGCTTCCCTGAGATTTGTCCCTCGCATCTTTGTGTGGCTCTAATTTTGACAAAGTTGACTCAGCTGTGAAGTATGTGTATTGGAAAGAGACAGGATCCTAGGGAGCCCTCCCTGGCCTAAACATGAACAAGATTTGTGACATTGGACAAATTGCTCAATTTCTTTGAGCTCTTCAGTGTAGTCAGTAGACCAGACCCTGTCTTAAAACTCCCAGCTTTGACAGCCCAGAATTCTCTCTATAGCTGACCTCTACATCCCTGTCACTCTACAAATAGGAGATTATGGGGAGATGGACACAGAGAACAATTCAGTTCCTGTTACTGATGGAAGCCTCTCACAGTTAGAGGCAGTTTCATGCCATTATTGACATATTCACACCCTCCCATTACTTCTTCCAGCACCCAGGTCTTCTCTTCCTCAGGATATTTGCTAATAAAATTAATTAATGCGGCATCATGCAGTGTTTTGAGGAGGATTAGAAAGTAGAGCCTCAAGGTTAAGACCACTTACTCGTGGACCTGGAAAAATATGTCCATACTTCCTCAATTCTCTCATTTGTAGGTCCCTCTTTCCTCTGTTATAGCAGGAGTTTTCACGAAAATTCTATAGTTTTGTGTTTTGTTTATTTTTATTTGGCCAGTTTGTTAGTTGGTAGATTGGTAGATCCCATTTGTTACATATTTTTAAGAACTGTGTGAAAGCCATGGGTGTGATTTGTAAATGGTAGACACAAACGTTTTCTGCCTTGTTTCGGCTGGGCAGTGTCTTTGAGGACAGTGTGAGGCTCTCAAAGGGCTGAAGTTCACATGGCTCACCAGTTTGGGTATCCATTCTACAGCCTCCAGATGTTCAGTCTTGTGGGTTAATTTTCACCGCTCTGTTGATTGTCAACAAGCAGGAGGTACTTGCCACAAGCAGTCTGGGGACCTGAGACTCAATATTTTAAAAATGAATTTCCTGACCACTTTCCTAGTAGCAAAGAAAGTGAAAACCTCACCAAAAGACATGGGGCTGAATGAATTAAAAAACCCCAGAGGCAGAAATTCTCAACCTGAATTAGACAAGGAAGGGCTCACTTTGAAAGGGCAGTCACAGCATAAATTGCACTTCACGTTATTGATATTTTTAGCTTGTAATTACACATGAAAAAAAACCTGCATCTATTTAAGGGAAGTGAAAAAATACCAATGGGGAGTGTGTTTCTGTCACTGCTTCTCTCCTTTCTTACACTTACCCTAACCCAAGAGAGGCTGATAGAATCAGAGCACACATGTTTCTGTTGCTAGAAAAGACTGATGATATATTACACCCCTCAATTAAAACAGGAAATCAATTCTGACAAATGTAAGTTTATATCTATGCCATTTATCTTTCATTTCTAAGAGTGGGGAGCATAATTAGAGACTTGAGACTGGTGACATAAGTGTGTGGGTCTGAGCGCTTCAGAAAAGCAGACTTGAGCAACTAAAAAGGAAAAATCATTTCCAATCCCCAGTTCCCTCCCAATAATTCAATGGCATGTTAAAACAAATTATTTTTTAAAAAATAATGTTGTCTGCATGACTGGCAAGGAGAAGCTTTTTGATCTTTTCCTCATTTCCCAAAGGAAAATATGACAAAATTTTACAGAACTATGTTTCAGAACAAGGAAGGTACTAGAACACAGTTAGCTAGAAATCCAACCCAAGGCAGGCATTGCAAGGCTAAGGAGAGGGTAGACAGGGGGATACAGGTTCCCTCTGCTGAAAATTTTGGGGGACCTTGTTCTTGGTCATTCTGCCTAGGTCTCCCTTTGTGAGCTTTTAGGAAACGTGCTTCAATTCAGTTCAACCATATCTACACAGAGCTTTCTGTGTGCCAATTACTGTGCTAAGTGCTAAAGAAGAGGGACACAAGGAGAGAACTTGCTTAGGTAGAAATTGCACAGATACAAACACAGAAGCTGCTGTCAGCAAGGAGCTTTCCAGGAGGAGGGGCGAGAATGGGTGCAGAATCTGTGATATCAGGCAGAAAGGGGTTTATAAACGCCATGAGATAAGCACAGGCAAAGCCTTGAGCTGTAGAATCAGAAGAGATTGCTTGGCCCTGGGATCTTGGTAGGCTTCCGGAAGCAGAATTTGAAGAGTGTTTTAAGTGGGAAACAAGGAGATTCCTGGCAGAAGGAACAAAATCTCAGGCAAAAATCAGGGGTGCAGAGTTAGGAAAGGCTTCTCTACATTCAAGGAGGATTTGCTTGATGTAACTAGAGCAGCCTGGGAGTGTAAGTTACAGGAGACCCATGAGAAGGGATTTATCTTGCCTGCTTAGTATCCTATCTTTTAAACCACTGCTTCCCAAATCTTAATGTGCTTGCAAGTCATCTAGGGATCTTTTAAACTGCAGACTCTAATTCAGTGGGTCTGGGGTAGGGCCCAAGATTCTGCATTTCTGACAAGCTCCCAGGTGACCTTGGACTGCACTTTGAGTAACAGGGTTCTGAAGAACTGCTTTTGAGGCCTCGATAGTGGGCCAGCCCCCTTCAGTCACCTTCAGTCAGGGTTGGTCCAAGTCCTCCAGCCTATTAGGTAGGAACTTTTCCCCATGTGTCATTTCAGATGACTGCTCAAACTCAGCTCCCTGGCCAACTGACTGTATCTCACCCCAACACGCACACACACGCACACACAAACGCGCACACATGCACTCTTTCCCATTTCACCCAAATGGCCGTCTTTCAAGGCCCAACTCAATTACCATCTCCTCTAAGAAGTCTTCTCTGATCTCAGCCCCTCTCTCTCCCCATGTTTGAATTCATATCTCCTCTATATTTTATTGAGTTTTGTAAATCGGCTATAGGCAGCTCTTAGCATAGACGGTCTAACTAGTAATGAAGAATACACACGCACGCATGCACACAGACACACACACATAAAATTTTAGAGTAACCACCTTAAATCATTTTTGCAATACTATAGGCTATGTATATATAAATTAATAGAACACATGCAAAAATATGTAGAACTCCCACCAGTCTGACTGCTGGAAGCCTAGTTTATTTCTGTTATTTCCAGTGCCAGGACAGTGGGCTCAGAAAAGCAGGCTTATTTAACTGACCCTTTCATTATGTTGAGCCTTTATTCCACTATCTGTGCTTTCTTATCAGGGATACTACACTCATCTGTTTATTTGTTTAATCAACATCCATTTTTTGATTGCCAGAAATGTGCCAGGACACAAGATGATGATGACCATCCTTCTCTGAGCCTTGGCTCCCATGACTATAAAGTAGAAATGATGAAAATATTTCTTCATAATGTTGCTGTCGGTAAAAAATAAGGTCAAGTGTACAGAGTGCTTAACAAGGCTTGGCACATAATAAGCACACAATAAATGGGGCTATTTTAACTATCAAAGGTGTTTTTATCAAATTTATTTTTATTATTATTATTGTCTGCTTAGTGAGCTGAGCCTTGAAATAGACCACCTGGGATTTCAAACAATCCTCGAAATGCCGGCCAAAGAACACTGCAGGGACGGTGGAAACCACTTCCTGTCTCTTTAATTTGCTTTTTCCCATCATAGAAATGAGGCCAATTGGTAGGGAGGAGACATTACTCAGCAAAAATACAGTTTATGCCTTTCCAAAGAGGAAGGACCTTGAGATTGAACATGAGGACCCAAGTAACATCTTTTTATAGAGAAACATGGCAGATACTTCGTTTCAATCAATGAAGCCTGAATTTCTACTCTGTGCACCAGTCACAGTAGCTGTTTCTGGAGACTCAGACAGAAAAAGGGCAAATCCTTCCTTTGGAAGCTCACAGTTTAGTGATCCCCCAAAATATGCAAATAATTACTACTAAAATAGGCAAATTCAATGAAAGTTATTTATCCTAGAGGAGTAAATGATCCTACTTGGGGAAATTGGGGAAGGCTCACAGATACAGTGATAGGCAAGACACACTCCTGACCTCACAGAGTGTGTAGTCCCAAAGGGTTTGGGGAAAGGAAATTTTGCAGTTGATTCCAGAAGCCTGCTTGTTTCACTACTGATGACCCAGATTCAAAAATAATCAGGTAGTCCAAAGCAAGTTTTTTGCCGCTGAGTATAAATTTCTTGCATAAAATACCAATTATAACAACTCTGATTACTGCTGCAGTTGTACCATGATCCTTTTAATTTTTCTTTCATAGCAATCAATTGATCTGCTGCTTAATTCATATTTATTTAGATTGCAGCCATACAGATGCCTTTTGGGTGCTGCCAGGAAATTAATATGTACATATAGAGTATAATGTATGTAAAAATGCTTTGACAACCATAAAGTGCTCTGCAAAGTATTAGATTACGATCGTTATTTCTTTTTAAGTCTTACTACAAATAGATAAATTTTAACGTCATTAATCTTAAAATCATAGCTGTGAAAAAACTAAGTTGCACAGTCTGTTTTTCTTATTAATCTTTTCAGTTCTGATCCATGTCCATTTCAAATCATGTGTCATTTCACACCTTCACAAATGCCACCCCTAATTTCCAAAAGATACAGATGGATGCATGGCCTGTATTTGTAGCCTGTTAATCCTTTATGAGAAAGAAATGTTAGAGTCATTGGTCATATTAAGGAATATTAAGAGATTAGGAAATAAAATTCCTCACCAACAGTTAACCTCAAAAACATAAGTATATATGTATGTATATGTATGCATATATGTATTCATATACACATACCCTTTGGGAGTGCTAAAACCCTTCAAAAAGTAAAGAACTTGAGACCTTTTTAACTTTTTCTTTACACAACCAAAATGTAAGAAGTGCAGACTTGATTACGTAAATTTGGTATAAAGAGTATTTAAACGTGCTAACCTCTGCTGTTTTGAAAAGATATGTTTTTAAGGTTTCCTGTGTTAATTCCTAGAATTCAAGACACATTTCAAAGAAAGAGGCTCCAATAAGTGGGAATGAGGCAAAGTTACCAACATCAGAATATTTGGGTAGGGCCTGGGGAGCATATACGAAAGTCTGGAAGCTAAAGTCAGAAACAAGTAGGGGCCACTAGGACCTTGTTTTCCCCTGTGGCTAGCCTGCCCAAGCCCAGGGTTTGTGTTTGCAATCTATCCCCAGGTGAATTTCATGCCACGTACCGAGTGGCCAGTAGCTCCTAGATGCTCTTCGTGCATAAACAGTTCACACACTCACCCCCCCCACCTCAACACATATCACAATATTTATAATCTAGAAGGACCTCAACAGTCACCTAGTCTAAATTCCTTCTTTTCCAATTGAGGAAGCAGACCCAGAGAAGGAAAGTGACTTGCTCAAGTTCACAAGAGATGACAAACCAGATGTCCTGACATCTTTTCTTTCTACCTCTGAGTCTCACCTGTTTGACAGTGTCTGTGCTCAGTATATAACCAGAACTCTCTCTCCCTTTTCAGGAAATTTGCCCCCCGATGTTCTGTGTGCAAGGAGCCTATCATGCCAGCCCCAGGCCAGGAGGAGACTGTCCGGATTGTGGCTCTGGATCGTGATTTCCATGTTCACTGCTACCGGTGTGAGGTCTGTGGTCAGCGCCCCTACACCCTGCCAGTGCATGGCAGGCCCATTAGATCCATAAATATAGCAACTATATTAAATCTGGGAAAGCCCGTAGTGCCTGTGTTCACAGGACCTGGGTTTTGGATCTGACACAAGTGTTTAACGCTAGTGATGTTGGATAAGTCACTTTACCTCTTTCAGTCTCAATTTCCCCACCAGCAAAAATGACTCAAATTCTTATTAACTCTTTCAAACATGCTGTGTGACTAAAATGCAAAATTATATATTAGAGGACATTGTAAATCATAAGGTGTTAAACTAGTGAGAAATGGTATTGTTATTATTATCATCATTGTCATTATACGGAATTTTTAACTTTGGCTCTGATGCTCCTATGGGACAGAGATGCCACTGTCAGCCATTGAGAAGGATAAGAATTCATTCCTGTAGGAAGGGTTGGCACTTCATGTTCAAAGTCATGGAGATTCGGTAATTTAGCGAGCCCTGACTTAGCACTTAAGGCAAGAGATCAGATGAGTACTGAGCTACAGGAGAGCTAGGCACAAGGTGCCTTGGGGATATATAGAAGAGACCTGCCATCTGGGCTGGAAGCAACATGGAAGGCTTCTTGCCCAGGGGAAATATAGTCATTTATACAGCAAAGGGCTCTATAATCTTGGGATCAAAAGGTCACCACTTGCAGAAAATGATGTGGACCCATTTTCTTATCCTGGTTCTGTAACTTACCCAGAACCCCTCTTTGGAAGTTTTCTTGTTTTTACCAGCCCTTCAGTATGCAGCCGCTCCCAGCTCCTTCTTCTCCCTGTGGGATAAGATGAACTTCCTTATTATCACGTCCTCACGAAATCGGCTCCTCTAGTCCCACGAGGAGATGTTCCCAAGACACAGGCTGGCTCTCTGGGACTGCGTGCCTCCTAGTCACTGCCTTAGCTGTGACTGACCTCCTGTTTTATGCTGTGTGCTTTGTTTTGCCCTAGAGCCAAGTTGCATGCCTTTCTTTGGCCTTAACATGAGAAAAGATAATAAAAAAAATTACTGGCTTTTACATAAGGATTTTATGACTAAAGAGGAGCAACAATGTTCATTCCTAAAATTGCCCTAAATCATAAGGGTGAAAGAGCTAACAGACACCTTAGAGATCATTTTGCAGTTGGGGAAACTGAGGACCAAAGAAGAAAGGCTTCCCAAAATTCCTCACACACTTGCCATTTATACCGATATACTTTGACTTTCAATGGTTTTGTTTTTTGTGCTAAGAGTTGCATGAAATGTGGTTTTCCTCTCCCAGGTTAAATCATAGCAGCACAAATTAAGTTGGCTTTAAAATGCTGTGAAGTTTTTTAGAAGCAATATTATACGAACACTGAATTTGGAAGAGGGCAGACCATTGTACTAGTCCTGCCACGGACGCTGCATAACACTGGACAAATCCCTCCCCTCCCTCACTTGCTCATCTATAAAAGGAGGAAGTTGTACTGGATGCCTCATGGCTCCTTTTCCTTCTAAGATTCAAGGCAGTGATGGTTCCATCACTGCGACCGACTCTGGGCTCTTTAGGGTGCCCAGGTGACTGTAGATGGTAGCTCATTAAATGCTTAAAACCTTGTCATTTCTGAAATTATCTTCTTTCTTTTTATTGTGATGAACAGATTTCATTGAGTTCCATTGCTCAGTTTCCCAAATGCCTCCATAGCTGCAAAATTATCTGCTTGTCCATTTTGGTAAAGTCGACTTTCCTGGGAAGCCTTGCTATTGCTGCTGTTGCTGCTGCTGTGGTGTTCTGAGCGACACCGTTTTTGAACTTAAATTTCATTATTTGTCAAATGCAGACAGGAGACTCAATGACCTCCTTGCTGTCGTGGTAGACAGCGGAGGCGAGGCATGCAGCAGTTGTGGCCTTTTAGAAGAGTTTCTACTGAAAGTAGAAGAGCACACGCCACTAGAGGAAGTACTGTATTTTTGTTTTCCAAAGAAACTTCTGTTTTCTCCAAGATAAGGGCCAGCATTTTACTGTTATGTAACACTTTCCAAATTGGCCCCTCAGAGGTGCTATCAACAGAAGGATAATCCTCTACAGTTATGTAGCTCTTTGCGTTTTTTTCAAAGTACATTCACATTATCCTCTTTGATCCTCCCAACAGCTTGGTAAGGTAGGAAATGCAGGAATTATTTTCAGAGTGACAACTGGCCTTGCCTGCAGTGACAGAACTGAGGGTGATTTCCAGGGGCCCTGTCTCCCAGGCCTGCACTCATTCCTCTCCACCATGCTTCCTTCTTTAGAAAGTACAAATCATTACTCTCCAGGAACCTTAGCAATTTATTTTCTTACTACAGCTGGAGTAAGTAGGCAGAGCCGTTGGTGGCCCTTCTGCTTAGCTTTTGCCCAGAAATTACCAAGAAATTCCATCCCTGCCCTTGTAGATTCCTTTTGAGAAATCCTGAAACTAATGATAAGGGTAAAGATGAATTAGTGATTAGAGATCCATTCTGGTTTTAGTTTCTCTTGTTCTTGCTGTTGTTGTTGTTGCTGAGTGAGGGGGGCAACACTACTTGGAGCCTAGAAACTTGGGATCTCCTTGTACCTCTATTTCCTGTGAAGTGACCTTAGCACGGTCATTTCACCATGTTTGTATTTATGCCCCCAATCTCTAATTCAATCTAATTTGACACCTACTATGTTATATCCTGGGGAAGGACTGGAGGGGACTGATGGTATATGAAGAGGGAAGGTGGTAAGTGGGCACATTATGGAGGCCTTGAATGGAAAGCTAAAGAATTTGGTCTTCGTGCATGTACTTGACATTTTCACTTACGTCCTTTCCATCTGTCTTCATTTTTCCAGGATTGTGGTGGTCTCCTGTCTGAAGGAGATAACCAAGGCTGCTACCCTTTGGATGGGCATATCCTCTGCAAGGCCTGCAACTCCGCCCGCATCAGGGTGCTGACCGCCAAGGCCAGCACCGACCTTTAAATTCACTCACCTGTGTAGCTGGTTAACTGGTGGCGCGGCGAAGAATGAAACACAAGAAAAAGATAAGAAAAGAAATAGGAAAATAGAGGAAAGGCTGCCAAGCTACGGGATGGGCTCTCTTCTTCATGTACTATTAACCTTTCTTTAGAAGCACATAGATTATGAGATTTTTTTTTTCAAGTTCTTACCAAATACACATTTCACATTTAATCATGTAGGACCTTGATGGGCCTTTGTTCCCAAGGAATTCCACATTTTTGCACGGATTATGCTCCATCCCATTCACTTCTGCATTCCTGTAACTTTTAATCCCTATGTTTGTCTCACTTTTCATCTGGTTCAATGGCTTTTTTTAGCGTGGTATTTGCTGTCACACAGTTTTTCCTGGGTGAGTATGCCAACTCACAGGTGCTTTTAGGCATGAAGGCTCCATCCTATCACTTCCATGTTGCCTGTGATCATAAAGAATAGCCATTCTTTTTCTGTGTATTGAAAAGTATATCTTTCTGTTGTTTTAAATTAGAATGTCCCTTGGGAAAAAAATGCACAATTTATATGTTAGGCTATAAAGAATTTAAGCTGTAAATTACAAGGTTAAAACAAGCCCAAATTTAATTTGCAACCATCCAAATTCAAAAATCCATAGTGACCAGTGGTCGGGGCTCATGTGAAAACACATATTGGTGAGAGATCCAAAGTTCAATCTTTTTCTAAAGACATTGTAGGTGAGACATGCTGGAAAAAGCATTTTGGGGCTATGTTTGAAAAGCCCATTATTATCCCACAAAATTGTCTTAAGATTTTCCTTTTCCGTACTACCTGGACATAATAGTGCAGACAAACTTGATTTTCTCTAAAATATAACATTTCCAATACTGTCCCGCTTTTCATCTCAGAAGTGTTGCCGTGTTTTTTCTAATATCCAAACACAACTACCAAAATTGACTTTTCTCTAGAGGAAAGACCTATAAAAGAACAGTTCAAATTCCTTTTTTTTCCTTAGGCCCAGGTCCTTTTGCCTGACAATCACAAATCAGAGCACGCAAAATAAAATTGTGTAGTTTTGTTTAGTTTACTTTAAAAAGACAGGAAAACTTGAAAAGATTGTAAAACCACAGCTTCATTATTCTCATAATCCTTCTGCAATTCAAATTACATATTGCAGGAGACATTTTCATATCATCGATGTGACATTTACACCACACTTTCAAAGACAATCACTGAAAAAACTTGCCTTTCTGAGCTAAAAATATGCAGAGTTTCTGCCTGGAATCTTTACTCAAACTCTTATTGGGCAGTGAAACACTTGCTTTCCAGCTGCAGAACCATCCTCCATTAGGCTCAAATGTGTTTCTTTTAAGGGGAGACACTGATCTTAGTAGCGGCAGGTTGCCGTTTTGTAAATTAATTATATTGGATTGAGATTTCTTAAACCTTTCTTCAAGTCTTCCACAAATATATACCTTTTTAAATTATGAAGTATTTTAAATATACACAAAAGTATAAATAATAATATAATGAATGCCTGTATACGTAACACCCAGTTTAAGAAATCAAATATAGCAAATATAGCTACATTCCCCTCTATACCTTTCCCTGAGCCACAAATACCTTTTGTATGATGATAAACTGATCAAGTCGGTTTTCTAGTCTGACTTTTTTTTTTCTAATTTTTAATTTTAACACTCAGAACAGAAATGAAAAATTACTAGTGGATGTTTTGAATTGCAACCCCTGCCTCAGGAATTCCAATTCAACTGGTTTTACTTTAGTAGGAATAATCATAAAAGTGGTTCAATTTTTTTTTAATAAGAAATTCTTAAGCCTGTGTTCACTATAGATCATCTAAGTTAATTTGTGGCTCAGTTGCTTTGGCCACCTAAGAGTTTTGTTTTAGAACCACCAAAGTTACAGGTTTTCAAAGTGTCCTTTGACGGCTGTCCTTCCCTAACCTTGCTGCTCTCGTCCTTGATCTGATATTTCTCACAATGTGAAATACAATGGAATTCACTTTGGGCAGCATGTGAATTTTAGGATACAATAGCAACTGTACTGCTGAATTTCTGTCTTCCAAATTAAAGGCCAAACCATGCTGATGACCTCAATGCGCACTGACTATTAAACAATTGGGGTGATAATATAATCTGCTTGAATTGCTTCAGGAACTTGTTTTCTATGAAATAGCGGGGAGAAATTGTCTTTAGGCCAAAAGCCCAATTTATTGAGAGATGGATTTTCTCTCTTGAAGTGCAGTCATATTATTATAAATTTTCCCAAAAGAGGAAGCATTTATGAAATATTTATACTATAAAAATGCAATAACATTCTATTTGTTTGTTACATTTACACTCTTATGTAACTGAATGTTTACATGCAAAAAAAAAAAGAGTTATAAGAAAATGCTGTCACTGTGGCATCACCAGAATACTGCTTGCTTACAATCTTTAGAGTGCATTTTTATCACATAACCTCAGAGTATCTCTACCAAAGATTTTTAAAGTAAATCTCTTTTTAATATAGACTTATTATACTTTTATAATAATGAATGTGCACACATACATATGTAGAAATATTTAGATTTAGATTTTTTTCTTTCACATGGTATAATAAGGAAAGGATCCTACAATATTTTATTCCAGGATTTCTTAAATATATGATTTATATTGCTTTCTTTTCTTTTCTATTAATCATTTGGTTTAAACAACGCCAAATCACTCTTTACTGTTTTAGTTACATGAAATTTTGCCTATAACAGAGATATATAGATCATATTACCTTAATGATTGTAATTCTATTGTCTTTTGATAAGTTGTCTTGATTGTTATCATTTAAACTCATAAATAATAGAAATAATCATAGAGTGTAAGAGAAAGTTTGTAAAAATATACTGTTTTAAAAAAATTGTCAAGAACACATATATTTGGTAATTCTGTGTAACATGAGAGACATGGAAAAGGGAAAAAAAACCCACTATGTCATGGGCTTTGCAGACCATTTCAAAATCAGATTTCTTTATTACCTGGATCCCCAGCTCATGCACGCTAAGTGTGGAGTCTCATCTGTAAAAAAAAATCGCCTTTAAAACTCAAAAATAAGTCATGTGTCCCAGCATAAGGCATTAAGGCTTTGAGATGCTGGACATCTCTGCAGCTCAAAGATGTGGCTTCTTTTTCCTGTCGTTAACAAATTGTTCCTGTAGGAGCAACTTCTCTGATCGAAATGACTTCATTGAGTATATGCTGGTTAATGCAGTAGAGTTAACAACACTATCATTGTTTTCTCACTACAAAAGATTCTGCAAAGATGTTTATGATGATGTTTAAAGTCTATAAAACTCTAACTACATTTAAACAAGTATCTTATATTTGGGTCCAGAGGAAAAAAGAGAACACTTTTATCATGGGGCTGTAGTAGAGGGTTTATGGAATAAAGACAGGACTCTGAAGACACAACTTCCAACAGTTTTCCTAGTTAGTAAAAATCCTATTAATGTGAACCAGCCGGGAATAACAGTGTTATTTCTATTTGATATGGTTTGGTCTTCTCTTGTCAAATCTGTGTCGGCTGCCCTCTGATCCCTCCATTATCAAGTTTTGAAAGGTGTTGGGGAAATTATGGCAGCTGCTAGGGAGATCAGGGAAACACTGATGTAACCTCACAGCCTCTCACCATTCCTCTTGGCTTGGAAAGGCTGTTTTTTCCATATACATTTCTAGAAATATTGCTATTCTACCTTAGTATTTCACATTTGTAGTTTAAACAAGCGATTGTCCATCTGTTGCCTAGAGCTACAGTACATGTGTGTTATGAATGAAATATGACAGCATGTTCCATACCCTGCTTTAGCCATCTGTAGGAACCCAGTAGGCTGAAAAAGATATACCTCTGCAAAATGTGTCTCAAGTCCGTTTCCTGAGATAGCTCTTTTGGTGCACTTTCATAGGAAACAGTCAGAGAGCAGTATATTTGTGCCTTATCTTGAAAGCATCTTTACACTACTATGAATACTTCCCTGAAGAGTCTAGAACATAAATATCAATCCCCAGATCTCAAAGATGTACTCATCATCAAAAAGTCAAACAAAATCCAGAGAAGTCTGAACTCTTCATCTTAATGCATTCTAATAGGATTTCTTTTCTCCTGGTCTCTTGGAAGTACCTTATTAATTCTTAAATTAGGAAAACATTCTTATGCCACAAGATGACGTATTGAATGTTGGTGGTGGTTACGTTTGGTCTTACGCTGGTTTTAGTCAGATAATGAAGACAGAGACTTCCACCTGAGCCTCTAACACACATCCAGCACATCCACCTCTTTTAATTGCCATCGTTTTTTGGTTTGTCTTTTTTTTAATCTAATAGTGGACAGAATAAGTTGAGAATCCTGGTTCTGAGTCTTTATTATGGTGCAGCCATGAACATTTCAGGTTGAGTTATTTCCTTGACAGATAACTTTTCTCATGAGGCTGTTGTTTGGTTAGCATGTTATTCAAACCTTTGAAAAATGATCTGATTAAAGCTGCGTGACTAGGTGAGAATTCTTTCTCTTTCTTTCCCTCCTTTTCTCCCTCCTTCCTTTCTTACCCTCTTTCCTCCCTCCCTTTGTTCCTTCTTTCCATCCTACCTAGTAGTGCGATCCTGCTTGTACTTTTCATAAATAAATTAAATCAATGCATTATGATCCTTATGGAACTATGATCATATAACAGAAGAAGGCTACTGCAAAATACATGCAGCATCCATAAATCCTTCCTTTAAAAGGGCATATTTTCCAGATTGTGTTTATTCATAAAGTGAGATGAGATAATAGGGTTTTTCAGTTTCATTTTAATGAGTTTTCATCAGGGACTCAGATTATAGAGTTCTTGGCAAATTCATTTATGACTGTCCTACTTTTCCCCACTATATGCAAAGTGATCTTTCTAAGACTAGGTTAAGATTCTTTTTTTAAATCCAAAGCATTTTGACCAACAAAACAATCATATATTTAAGTGGTGGCATTTTATTTTATTCCAGTGAAACTTGGTAATTTTCCTTATGGCAAAGAAAAACTATTATCTTTCCAAAATTTTTACACATATCAGCATTTTGCCCACGGCAGTAATGTTAAATTCTAATGCTTGAATTACAGTATTTTACACGGGGTAGATTAGCATCAGGGTTTTTCCTGGAGAACTGGTTACAAGCCTCTAGTCTGTTTATAAAAAGCAACTTGAGAAAAACAAGTCTCTCAGTAAAGCATTTTGTTAAAATTTGGGTCTGAGATTCTTTTGAACTCTGGCTAATACTGATAAAAATATGCCATCTGTGTCCATTTTTTAAAATTTGTCTGAAAAACACTTATAATTCTAGGAATATATTTACATTTTTGGTTTCTATTCTCACTTCCATTTTCTATAAGTTTCACGGGGTTGACACTGACTTTCCTTTCTGGGAGGGTCACGTATGAGGAGAGTAAAACATCCTTACTGATATATACTTAATTCAATACAGAAATGCATTTGCCAAGAATTAATGCTCGTCTCAGTGAGTTTGGGATTTGGTATTCAGACAGTTTTTCTTTTTAACCTGTCTCCAAGAAGAGTGGGCTTCCGGAGGGAAAGGAGGAATTTGAGAGAAGGGGCAGTCTGCAATGAAAACAACTGCAGGGGAGTCCTTATAAAGTGTAACTCTGAGAAGTTTCATAGAGGTTTTAGGGATCAGCAATTGTAGTTGTTTAAACAAGTAAAATATTTACATTTCCAAGTTTATCAGGTGTTTAAAAATCACTGTGGATAATGATATAGTTTTCCCTTGTCTGAGAGGTAAAGTAAGAGCTGCCGCTGGGCCCCATGGCATGGCCATGACTACACCAGAACTTTTCTAATGCATGTCCTTTCATCCCCTCTGGGAGAGGGGCATAGCTCATTCTCTTTGTGACAGACAGTGATACATGTTCTCACATATTCTTACACAAGCTGCACTACACCCTAAGCATCTCGGAGGGTTAGAGGTTTTCATTTTCACACATCCAGTGTTTTCTCTCTTTCCAATGTACTTACCTGGTGAGCACAGTAAGGAAGAGATTTTTTGGTCTGCAGTTCTCTTGTTTAAATTCAGTCATCCACTTTCTGTAATGTCTTGCCTAAATAATTATTCTATAATTGATCTGTACTAGTTTTCTCTTTTTTAGTTGCAAGCACAGCAAACTAACTTTATCTTACTAAGTTTAAAGAAAAATAAATATGAAATGGAAAAGTTTTCCTTCGGTATAGAAAGGAATGATATTTTTTCCTTTCTCTATATTCCTTTCCTGGTCCTTGTACAAAAAATTGTAGACTTAACTTTAGTTATCCAACATGCATGTGGCTTATTTTGTGGAAAGTTCTGTGAAAGATGTGTTTGTATTAAACTCATGGACGTTTCCTCCTTGAAGTTTTAAAAAAAGTTGCTAAAAATCTTTGCTGTTTTTTCCTGATTGTTATTTAATTAGCAGCAGTATCTAACCACACTAATAAATATCTCTATTTCCAGCCTTTGTTATAAACAAAATTAATGTTCTGCAAGCAAAGAGTTATATACTAGAAAGAGGAAGAAACCTTACAACTAATTCCTTTGTAGTACTTTAAGGTGCTTGTCTTAATCCTTCCTTACTGTATGTCTTCATTAATTTTTCCAAGATCCATCTACTTAGGGCAAGAGAAAAACTTAATCATCTAACTCTGATAGATATTTAACCAATTTACTCAAACAAAAGCTTTACTAAACAACTCACAAATACATTCAGTCAACTTGGCACTGAACGTAGCTTCTAATTCAGTTCTCAACCCCAGGAGGAGAATGATGTACCAAGAATGAGACAGGTATTGTTATGCCATCTTGTGTTCTACACCAGTGTAGAGGTGCTCTTCCTAGACAAACATAGAATCAGAGGCCCTTTAAGGATCTGGATCTCCTCCGTTATTTTCCTGACAAGTCACCATCCCACATCTTAGACTTGGCCGATCTGTTGTACTGTTCACAGCAGTCCGTTCTACCACTGGGCAGCTCTTTCTATGAAAGTTCTTCCTCATGTTAAACAAAAATCTGGCTCTACAGCTACATAAAACTAGTCTAATGTCTAAATCTTTGCCTCTAGGTCAGCTGTCTCTAACTCTTTCAACTTTTCCTCACTTACTGACGTAGTTCAAGTCCAATCATCCTTCTGCTGCTTCTTTGAACAGCTGGACCCAAAAATATTTTCTAATTTTATTTCAATCTACTTGCTGAAACTTAGCAATCGCTTTGGGTCAGGCTAGGTGAAAACACATTCTTGGGGCTGAAAGTAAATGGAATTGGAATCACCCAAAGGAAACTGATGTTCAATGTAGAAATTTTCCCCGAGGACTCACATCCAGAAGGGTGAAAGTTAGATGAAGACAGATCTCCTGTGTGTACAAAACAGTCCTCCTACCTTGTGTCCTGTGCTGTTTTTGATGTTGCCAAAATCAGTCATTCTGAAAACAGGAAGCAAGCTAATACATATACCATCCATTAGATTCCCACTTCTTGGTAAATGTTCTTAAAGTCTCTTCAACCTTTCCCCTTTGTCCCTCTCTTCTCAAGAATAAGACATTTCTTGTGCTGTTTCCATACTGAATATGCAAAAAGAGTCATGCCTGGGCACTTTATAGGTTCTGTATAAATATTTACTGGCTGATTGGTTTTGAGATTCACTTCCATTTTCCTGTGCTCAAATGTTTGTACCTAGAGATCTTGCGCTTTAGACCAAGTGAGCAGCTTCCCTACATGATCAATTAGGAACTATCCTTAGGAGTCCATATTTTCTATTTTGTTGTTCTAACATTTTTATCCTTTACTCATCACTTCAATTTAACAATTGCTGTAAGAGAATCAGCCTCTAAGTAACCTTGATTCAGGCCAACTGCAATAAGATTAAACAGGCTTAATCTGTACTCTATAGAAAGGAATATGTCATTGGGAAGAGGAATTCTTTCCAGTAGCGTCAGTAAAGGCTTCATGGAGGAGTGAAATTTGCTAAGAAATCTTGAAGTGACTAATTGAAGTTGAAGGAAAATATTTAAGGCACCAAAGACAACAGGAAACACACTATATTCAGAGAAGACTCTCTGCTTTAAGTATCACAGATCCTGGCATTTCCTTAACAGGAGAAAAGGCTTCCAGATATTCAGAGTCAATGGGAAGGAAAAGGCATAGGAAAAGGCTAATTCAATTATTTGCTTTCTCATCTCTTTATAACTGGACAATAAGATGAGCTTCCAAAATATAATCCAACACATACAATATGAACAAGAAACTTTATTTATAACATACAAAACATACATTCTTATTGACTTATAGCTACATACTCTACTCTTGGAATAAACACACTAGTCTTTTGAACCCCTACAAGAGACCAGCACGGTACTCTTATTTTCCTATTACTTCCAGGTCCACAATTGGAAAGGACTCCACCGTCATCTATTCCACTTGGTGTTAAAATTCTCTTGCAGATTCATTGATAAGTAAAAAAATCCAGACTCTGCTTAAACATCACCTGCATCAAGGAGCTCATTACTTCTTAACGTCTTCCGTTTTCTCCATCACACTTTGTTCTAAGCCTCCCCTGACTTTGAAACAGAACCAGCCTTTGAGCCTTATGTTTTCCTTGGTGCCACACAAAACCAGTCTTTAGAACATGATAAAATGTTGCTTCCTCCCTCCACTTTCCTTCCAAATACATTTGTTTCATTTTTGACAACACATTTCTTTAAAAGAAAACTTTGATTTTTAGCTGAAGATTATAAAAATCTTTAAACATCCTTAAAAATTGAAGGATTTTCTGAGGGGCACGTTTTAGAGTTCATGCGTTTTTTATAGTTGTTTTTACTTTCTTACTCAAAAGACGAACTGTTCTGACAGTTGCTACATAGCTTTATGCCTTCCCCCAGTAACTAACCCATGAACAGTACACTCCAGTTATCTGGCTTGCTGATAATGACCTTAAAATGTTGGGAAATGTCAGTGTGTGATCTCCCCCGCTAACAAGGGAAAAGTCAAAAGGAAAAGGTAGTGGTTCTGTTGAAACTCATTCCTTCTGGCCAGTTTTTCAGTGCAAAAGGAAATCATTCTTCAGGGAAAGGGTTATGTTATGGTTTTATGTAGAAATGTGTAGATCCTTTTATTATTGCCCTAGGTTACTAGTTAGTACCAATACTATTCCTTGGTCTTTGGGAGGACAAGTCTTGTGGCTTCTTCCACCCCCGCTTTGAATTAGAGAGCACTCTGCTCAGAACGTGTCATCATTCTCCTGGGCAGGACCTGGGAGTAGCTTTCTAAGCTCTAAAATAATAATTCCTAAGAGAGCTTAAAAACTGCTTTCGCACATAAAACAGCCCTGGGAGGAAGGTTATTAATAGCCCTATCCTAGAAGAGAAAGCTGAGGCCCAGAATCGTTAAGTGACTTGCCAAAAGCGATACAGCTGGTAAGTGGCAGATTTGGGGATGCACCCAGGTCTTGCAAGTATAGTGCTCTCTCCAGTGGCCATTGTCAGGGCACAAAATACCTCAGAGCACAATGTCTGCTTCTCACAGAATAAAGTGCCCCTGTCCAAAGGTATCCGGGGAAATTCGCATAGACCATTTAGCAATCAGGTGGCAAATCCGTGTGTGCACTGCGGTGCAGAGATCATTTGGAACCTGCATGCATCTTCTGTGTCCTCTTGTGGAAAACTACAAGGTATTCTGTCTGATCAGAATGTGGTGGGGATGAAGTCGGTGAGGAAAGGCCACCACTAAGAACAAACAACTGTGGCACTGAAGCACACTGCCACGGATTTCCCCAGAGACACTTGATTTACTTTACATTAACTGAAAAAGTCTGGAACTGTGAAGTTCAGAATATCAACTGAGATCATATCATTTAGAATGCGGTGGAGTGCAAGGTGACTTGATCTTTAAGACAAGACTCTCTCCTGTGGGCTATGATTTATGCCCCACAGAGGCAGAAACAGCTATAGGTAAACAATGCATAGTATTTTCTCTCTCTCAGTTCACATTTATTGAGGCCCACTAAGTGTATGTCACTGCCTCAGGCTTTTCCAAACCAACAACCAGTCCATGACCTTGAAATGTCTGTGAACAAATGCTTTGGGACTGATTGCCATTCTGGTCTTTGCCATTGGCTAGACTGGCTTCCTGGGCTGTTGTAGTTTTGTGATTTGTGTATGCCTATTACAGGGAGTATGCCTATCACTGTGTTGTTTCCAGGATACTTGGAAGTCTCGTATATTCTAGAAGCTGCTCTACAGGGCAGTTCAACAACTGGGCATTCTTTCTCTTGAGCTGCATCCTTCAGGAGGCTGTGCCTTTTGATGTGTGCTCTTGGGTTTTTATTTCCCCCAATTTCTCATTATGGTTGTTGGCTTTAAGTTAAAATCTGTGAACTGATTGAAAAATATTCTTTCTTCATCTGAGTTCAATCTACTTCAGGAGACCTTTAAAATTATCTCAACTAGTAAGCTTTCTAAGCATTTTCCCTCCCTAGAGTGTGCCATCCATCAAGCCCATCTCATCATCCATCTGCTTATTCCCTGGGATTAATGAGGGCCAAGTTAAATAACAAATAGCCTCCCACCCCTTTCCCATCTTTACACCTGGGAAACACAAAAAGTGCCAACGGGGCCAGCAGAGTAGTAATCTTGGCTGAGATAGCTACTTCAGAGACTGGAAAGGTGCCTTATCTTCCTGTGAGGTTTGATAAATGTTATGGCTGTTGGAATAGAAGACAGTTTTGTAGAATAGATGGAGTACCACCACCGAGGAATGGATTAATAGAAGCAGCATTTTGAGAACTTTTCAGAATTATTAGGTGAGTACACCTGAGTAAAGACTGACTTGGGTGGAATCTGTAACATCTTATTAGAAGGAATAAAAGACAGTGAATATGAAAAAGAAGCCCTTTCAAAAAATGGGAGCCACAAACCCTGATTTATCTTTACATATGTAAAGAAAATTATTAGTAAAAATTTTCCTCCTCCATTTTACACAAGATAGTCCCCCATATTTAAGGAAAATACAATTGTGTTGTCTTTAAAATACACACCCGTGCACGTGCATGCACACATGCTCGCACGTACACACACAAACATCTTCCAAGAAAGCTGATCCTTCAAAAAAGAAATCTTATTTTAAAACACTTGGGTTTTTTCAGGCCAGGAAACAAATAATTCCTAGACCTGACCCATTTTTGTGGCTGCCAAAGAGGGAAAGAAAAAGCTGTTTAAATTTCATATGGATCCATTTATCTCTTAAAATATGCCAAAGCAATTTGAGGTGGGGGTGGAAACTAAGGTATTTCTCTCTCCTGCTTACTTCTCTCTTTATATTTCTATCTGTGGGTTTCGAAAAGGGAAAGAACTATTGTTGAGCCGTTATTATTGATGCATTGTTTCACCACTTTGTACAGTGCCTGCTGCTTCATGCTGAGGCACAGGAATCACAGTTGCTTTCTCAACTCCATTTCTCCATCGTGAGGGAGTAAATATTGAACCTGAATGTCTTTCCTCACCAAATTATTCAACTTCATTTCTGAACTAGTTTAAAAAACGTGAAATGAGGAGAGCTAGCTTTTCGTGGATATGTTTCTCCCTTCTTTCTTGGGAGACAAATGTGAAGGGGAAAAAAATTCAGTTCCTTTTCATCTTTCTCTCTCTGGGTAACAGCTTATGATCACTTAGTAATTAATGATAAACCAGAAGTAAGAGAATCGCTCAGCCAGGTTATGATGCATCTGCCAATGTGTTCCATTCATTCAAACACAGACTTTGAGAGGAAAAGGGATCTCTATGATTTAAATACCAACAGTGGGAATGGCCTCATGTTTTAACTTTCAAATAGTAAAAGACAAGATGATATTTGGACAGTGTCTGCTTTTTACTAATCTTATATACCTCCGGCTTAGTTTTTAAGTATATCAACATATCAGGGTAAAATTGCCAAAAAGAGTTAAAGTGCCTTAGACCTCCCTCACTAGCAAATTGAAATTGATATAGACCATTCCAGTCTTCTAACTCAACTGAGGTGTATCTTTGATGAAAGAGTTAGGGACCTGGAAACTAAATCTTAATCACCAATATTGTGTCACGAAGTAGTTGCAAAATCATTTTTAAATGACTTTCTTCGTTTTACTACCCATTATTCTCTTGGGAAAGCTGATGAGCAAATTATCCAAAATTATTTCCTTATTAAACAAAGTCAGAATAATTCTCCCCCTAAAAATCTGAATTATGCCCTCGTTCTTTTTCAGGAAACATATCAAAGATCAAATAGAATTGAAGATGACACTTGATTATCTGATTCTTTAGAATGAATAAAATTATCATGTGATTTAATGTGCCTTAAGCAAAAATTTAAACTTAGATGCAAAACTTTCACAGCTGGCAATTGCATGGAACTTTTCCACGTGATCTATGCAATGAATTACTTTGTTTTTTGTTTTGTCTTTTAAACTTCACCTTTATCATTAGTTTAACAAATTTGGGGGTCTGTCTCTCCACTGGGAATATGTGCAATTATGAAACGCACCAAAAAAAGGAAGGGAAAGAACTTTGAGTAGCAAATCGGTCCCATGAAGTAGACGTGACACGAAGATGCAGAGGCTGAGGATAGTAATTTTCTCAGAGCCGCACACACGAGCTTTCATTTCATGGCTTTGTCACAGGCTTTTCTCCTTCTGTGCTGTCACCTTTGAGAAAAACGATTGCACCTTCTCCAAGTCTGCCTTTTTAGCAGCTACACTTGAGTTGGCAAGACTTCCCCCGTTCTGAATATAGCCATTTGCCGACTCCGGCCTCTTTGCGAGACTGACTCAAATCTGTGATCTTCTCTTCAGCATACACATCAGCAAAGTGAGAAGATGAGCACTAAATATAGGCTCTATTAACTTTACTTTTAGATTTACTGCCTTCAAAAAGTGCCTATTCTGAGAAACATAGACGTTATTCCTACATATGTATGTACACACGGTACCCAGAGTCACACTGTGCAGCCTTCAAAAACATACCATCGAAAAGAGTAGGTGCAGAGATAAAGAAACCTTGCCAAATGGAAGAAAGTCACTCATTTCCAATATCCCCTCTCGAGTGGCACCGTGAAACGGGCTGCAAACACATTCCCTGAGCATTCCTTGCTGATACAGCCACTTTATATTTATATCCTACCGGATGGTGGCATATTGCTGAGGTTTCCTGTATTCTGCTTCAAAGGAATATATGGTTTATGAAATTGGAACATTTAGTCAGGAAAAAGATTGTCTAAGAGGATTAATAGAGCCAGAGTCTGTATTAGGATATATGTCATATGTATGTTTTATAAACTGAGCATTGGTGGGTTTCGAATGTCAGCACATTTCTTCTCCTTTTATCTCTCAAGCTAACATCAGTGAACACTGAAGAGAAGTCTTGGCTATGACGATTGGTGCCTCAGGGGGCCAAATGTCCTGGGCAGATCCTTAGAGCATCTTTTGTTTGACTTCTAAAAAGGGGCACATGTTATTTAATGGCTTTTGTTATCATAGTTCTGTCACTGACATTGTAACTATAGATACTGTTGATGGAGCAGCAGCACAGCCTAGAAAGAGGGATTCTTACTGAAGTGTGGCAATAGGAGAGGGTCCATGTAGAAAGGACAAGGTAGACAGTGCATGATTTTAGGAAAAGGGTTGAAGGGAGGACGTGCTTCCAAAAAAGATCTTTCTCAATGTGTCGTCTGACTCAACCAGCTGGCAAATTACACTTGCCAATTCGTTCTCTTTCCTTCTAAGTCAGTTGGCTCCATATTCACTTGAATAATGCCTCTGCTTTGGGAAAGCAAGATACCTCCAGTTATCCTTTCTCCAAAGAAGCTCTTGATGTCCCCTTGGTCACAAAGTTGTCTCCTACCCCAGCCAGTTTCACCAAATGGAAGTACAGGGGCATAATCTATAGAAGATACCAGTGCAGTCAGCCACCACTGTGCCTTCCATATAAAGAGCCCAACTACATAAACTAGGGATGAGGTGGAACAGATTACTATTTCATAATTCCAAGAGTGTTGACCACGCGACGTTAGTTGTCATCATTTTATGAGACCAGTTGGCTCCTTGGAGAAAGAGTGATACTCTTCACCAAAATTATCTACTCTTCCTACTGATGTTCTTTTCCTGGCTTTACCGTCTTCAATTTCAACACTAGTCACTTTCTGTTATTTAGACAATCAGATTTTAATGCTGGATAAGAGTTCAAAAATCTCTGTGCAATGTCAGAAGGCACATTGGGGTACAGAGGATTTCCTCCTTGGAAACCAGATGGACTGGGGAAGAGATAACATGGCTTTGCTCCAGGTTTCAATCTGATGATCGTGACTATGAGAGAGAGTTTTATATAAATATTAAATAGTATTTATAGGTGAATAGATCAAGGAGAAGGGACAGGGAAGAGCCAGGTTTTTCTATGCTGAATGTGCCTACTTAGAGCAAGAACTTCCCACCAAGTACAGTCATAGCCCCGCCACGATCAGCTGCTAGTCTGAATAACCTTCCCTGATTTAGGGAAAGCCACACAAAATCATAGCAGGAATATGCCCTTTTTCACACATGTCATCCTGACAGATCCAGGATATTCATAAAAATAAAGGTTTCCCTTTGTTATTTGATTCTTAGCAAATTGCATTTCTCCACTACATCATGAACCATCACTGACATATTCCCAAATAGGCCACGTGGCTCCTTATGAAAATAAGAGAATAAAACCTGTTATAAGCAAGTGATTTGGATATTTTCTTTTGTATTTATGCATTATCCAACTATATTAAAACATGTTTCTATTTACCTTCTATCAATTTTTTCTATCAATTATGTTTTTCCAATAAATATGAAAATCATATTCTTTTCTGTAAAAGAACTGCAACTACTTTATTATATTTAGAAATCCAATAAACTTAGTACCTTTACTTGCCTTTGTGTGGAATTCTTTTTGAGTTGGATAATCTCCGTTTCCTTTTCTTCTGACCCCTTTTACTATGATTCATTTTTTACATCATTTGCTTTCCATATGGTCTTCTGAGGAAGGGAATGTCTCTCAAAGCAAATACGATGGCAACAAGAGCATGAAGGCACCCACTCTCTTCCACTGTTAGCACAGAAGATCTTAAGCTTGGCTGTGTTCCACAATTACTTGATTACTCTGTGTCTTAACCTCGCAAGTAAAGAATTTTTTAAAGTTGGATCCAAGTAAATGGGTCCCTAGGGGTGGGAGTGGGAGGTTCTCCGCTCTCATAACCAACAACGAGCTGACTTTTTCACACTTATATTCATCTGTACTATGCATATTTTTTGAACGTTGAGAATCTGCTCTGTACTAGGCACCTTGAGGACTGCAGACATGAATCAGTTCCTGCTCTCAAGGAGTCATTCATCTAGTAGAGCTGATAGACATGGATACAAATAACTGGAGAAAGGACAGGAGGACTCAAGACGCAGGGCAGAATGTAACAGCGTTTTCAAAGCTTTCACTGTTCATTATATCATTTTTAATAGACCTGTGATATGGAATTATTTTACCATGATTTTATAGATGAAAATGGTGAGAATGCAAGAATTAATAACCCAAGATCACCATTCATTCGCTAAACACTTTTTTTCCGTTATTCTAAGTAACATATCTGCTGTAGAACCCAGTACTCCTGATACCCAGTTCGGTGATCTGTCTACTAAACCTTAAGAGTGACCAGAAGTGACATGTACAAAGTACATGAAACCCCTTCCACGAAATTCAGAAATGAACATCCCTCTTCCTTCCCACTTAGGCCTTGGGTTTTATCTCTCCAACATCACATCTCAGCCTACTAACACTAAGGGCTCTGAGAACTACAGGTGCAAGGACTTTGAGAGGCCACCATTTTTGAAGGCGCCAGACACAAGAGACATCTTTGAATAAGCAAATGATAGAGAAATCCCTGTAACTCAGGGTATTCATAACTTGCTAGAAAGTTGTAGACAAACAAGGGCATCTAACATGGAATTTTGTCTTTCCCTGTTTTTTTCAAATTACTCTGTGTTCTTTGGCCGCTTTTGTTGTCTGTACCCTAACACTGCTAACATTCACGTGTTCCTATTCATGCAGTTTGAGGGCTAGAGGGGCCCACAGAGAGCATTTACTCTGAGGTTGTGAGGGAATACTAAGTCCCAGAAACATGAAAGGATTTATCCAAGGTCACAGAATAATGACAAGGCTGGATCTTGAGTCCTGGCCCCCAACTGTCTGTAGAGTGCTATTGTACTGATGACTTTAATAATGTGGAAGAGACTGGAAAACAAGTTCTATCTATAATTTCCACTTCTTGGAAAAATAAACAAATTTAAAAATGAACAAAAACTGAGAAGGCTTAATGTCCACAGATCCTAACTAAAAGGAATTTTCAAAGATAGATTTCAGAAAGAAAGGAAATAAACTAAGATGGAATATCAGTGATGCAACAAGGGATGGTGAGCAAAGAAAATGGCAATCACATAGTTCAATCTCAAACAAGTTGAGTTTATCCCAGGAATGTAAGAGTAGCTGAACATTAGAAAGTCTATTAATGTAATTCGCCACTTTCATAGAACAAAATAAAAAAGTCTTGTGATCAAAATATCTCAGTAAATGAAGAAAAAGTCTAATACAATAAAACATTCATTAAAAAAACAACCTTTAGCAAACAAGAAATGAAACTTCCTTGATTGAACAAAGGCTATCTATGCAAAAACCACCTGAAATGGTGAAACATTAGAAGTAATTATTTTCAATCATAAGCAAGAGAAGGACACCCACTATCACCACTTCTATTCAAATTTGTACTGAAGACTCCAGCCAGTGCAGTTATAGAAATATGAATAAAATATACAAAAAATGGAATATGAGAAACCGAACTGCCATGAATCATAGATGATATAATTATAGAAAACTTTATATAGAAACCCAAAATAATATGAAAATTAGCATTAAAAGTTAAGCAAGTTCACTAGATATAACATTGATATATCAAAATATCCATCTTATTTCTGTGCAACAGCCGCAAAGAGTTTGATAATTTATTTTTGAATAAACCTATATAATAGTAACAAAAAACATAAAGTATCTAAGAATATCTTCTTTAAAAGGTAAAAGACCTTAATGAAGAAAATCATAAAACTTTGCTGAAAGACATTAAAGCAGAAAAAAATAAGTGGAAAGATGTACCAAAGCGAAACTAGGAAATAATAGCAGAGAAATGTAAATTCTCCCTAAATTGGTCCATATTTTTAATGAAATTCTAATTTAAATCTCACCAGAATTTTTTATGGACTTTGATAAGCTAACTCTAAAATTTACTTGGAAAAGCAAATGCAAAAATACCCAAGACGTTTTTGAAGAAGAAAGAAGGATAATTTTCTTTACCAGGTAAGATTTTCTATAAAGCTATAGTAATTAGGGCAACATATTATTTGTATTAAAAAAAGTCAAATATACAGATGGACCATAGTTAAGAATCTTCGAACAAAACCATCTATTTATAGCAACTTAATATATGACATGAATGATATTGCAGACCACTGTGGAAAGGGTAGCAGCTGAGATCATTGGTTTTCATGTGGAAAAAAATAACGTCCAATGCCTACCTCATGTAGGCAAAACTTTAAGACCTATTAAAAAATCTTTTTGACCTTTAGGACATGAAGGATTTCTTGAACAAAATTAAAAACATGAAAATTACAAATAAAAGAATTGATCATTTAGACTTCATTAAAATTAAGAAATATGGTTAATCAAAAGACTCCCAATAGCTTCAGGCTGGGAAAAGCTATTTGCCAGACACAAAACTGACAAAGGATTACTATCCAGAATACACAAAAAATTCCTAACAAAAGGAAAATTCAATAGAAAAATGGGCACAAGAACAGGCATTTCATGGAAAAGGAAATGCACATGGCCAACTGACGTATGAAAGAATGCTTAAGTTAGTCATTAGGGAAATGCAAATTAAAACCAATATGAATTACCACTTCACACCAACCACATCAGCAAAAATCTAAAAGTCTATGTCAAATATTGGAGATGATATGAAGCAATGGGTATTTATATACAATAGTGGTGGGAGTGTAAATTGCTAAAATCACTTTGGAAAATAATTTAGCATTATCTAATAACGAGGAAGACATGCAAATCCTGTGACCAGTAATTGTGCTCTTGCCTATGTGCTCCAGAGGCATTCATCAAGATACAGAACTTTATTATTTGTAATGGCAAAAAGTCGACAATAACACAAATGTTCATCCAAGGAAAATTGATAAGTAAATAATAGTATATTTCTGCAATAGAATAATGTATAACAGTGAAAATTAATGAACTATAGTTAAATAAATCAATATGGTGAATTATCAGAAACATAATATTAGAGGAAAAAGCAGTCATAAAAGAATAAATACATCATTTACATAAAATTTTAAAACAAGCAAAACTAATTATGTTGTCTAAGGATATATATATGTCCTTATATATATCCTTATATATATCCTGGGGATATAGGATAAAAGAAGGGAGATGCGATTGGTGAAAGGCCTATGGGAAGCTTCAGTGGTGTTATTAATATTCTATTTCTTTAGAAGGATTGTAGGTTCATAAGCATTTATTTTATTATTTTACATCATAGTATGTGATCTACATCTATCATATGTTTCATAATATAATAGTTAAAAAAGAAAAGAAGGAAAAAGTGCTCCCTGATAACTCCACTTTGCATTCCAGTGTAGAGACAAGTGCACAATACATCCTTCATGACCAGGACATCTGAGATCAAGGCTGCCTTGGGAGACTGCTAAGGAAAGCCCCAGTATTTCTCAACACTTTTTAAAACAAAATCCTGGAAGTAACTCCTTTAGTAAATATAGATGAGGATGAGTAGAAAATGGAAACTGAGGAACAAAGCTCTCACTGGTGGTCATGCAATTATAGGACATTTCCCCTCTCTCTTCCCACACTTCTCTGCTTCTGGCACCTTCTATAAAGACTTTTCTTCTATGAAATTTTCATTGCTTACTTTATTGAAACTGATTACTTCCTCTTCCGGGTTCCCATTACAGTGCAAACTAACATATCCTCATTCCTCACTTGTGTACAACAATTATTAAGATTTTTCCGGGGAGGGAATGGTCTTATTAACTTAGGTGTCCCCAAAGTATCTAGCATAGCCTGGCCCATCACAGATCCTTAAAAAAAATCCAATGGAATTAAATTGATCCTCTTTCAACTTCACCTCAGATTTATTTCCAAAGCAAAGCATTTTACCTCTTTTCTGCCTTGACTCTTATGCTCAGGAAGTAAATGAAATACTCATTACTTCCATATGATGATGTACAACTGGCAATGGTAGAGAGTTCCGCATGAAGTACCACAAGCAAGATTCCTAAATTCAGGTCAGAGACTCCTCCCTCTCAACTCTCTTATAAAGGGAATGAGCTGGGTAAATAGGAAGAAGGAAGAAATAAACACAGGATGGTCGTGTCAATAGTCTGCCATGTCCTTTGGATCACCCAAGGCCCAAACCTCAATTTTGTCCCAAATCCCTCCCATTTCCTCATCTAATGGCTCCCCACATCCTGTCCCATCCTTCTCCTTAACACCCGTCTCCCTTACTTTGTCCACCCAGGTTTTCATTCCTCTAGGAAATCATTCCACAGAGTCCACACTTATCTCCTTGTCTCAGTCTTTCTGAACTTAGCACTTCACTCCACCTCTAAACCATTCTCCATGATGCCCAGCCTATTTCCAAGCCACAAATCAGACCACACTGTTCCCTTGATCCTAACCTTTACTTACTCTCCCTTGCCCTTAGGATACAACCCAAATTCCTTGGCATGACCTTGAAGACTCAGCTATCTTTCCAGACTTATCTAGTCCCACTCCACCCCCAACATACCCACCATTAAACTATGCCACATTTCCAAATCACGCCTTCTCGCTTCTCCATGCCTTTGTACTCACTTCTTTGTGTATATGCTGTCCCTTCCGCTTCCCGTCTGGCACCCAGTGACGACTACAAAAGAGCTCTGGCACATAAGGACTCCATCCAAACTCCTGCACTAAGAGACTTGACCAACCCTAGCATGGCTGCTGGCAGCCTAAGGCCACATCCCTGGGACAACCAAGCCTCACATTGAGTTTCTGTCTGAAAAAGCTAAAAGCTATCAAAGAATTTACCATTTCTTCTGACCAAGACCTGACAATAGGCCCCTGACGGCACCACCCCCCCACCTCCACCCCACCCTTTCTTTGAGCATTTGCTTTAAAAAACTTACAGTTGTGAATCTTTCCTCGGTAACTTTGAGATAAATACCTATGTATCTCCTACAGCCCAGGAATGTCTTTCAAGGACCTAAAAGCCATTTCTTTGAAATGCAATCATCAGGAAGCATAGGCCTCTGTCTCCCAGTCTGTGGGAGGATAGAATCCTAACTTCACGATAGCCAGCTGGCAATACAGCTGGCCTGGTCGCATTTACACTAACCAACCCTCTGACTCGCTTTTTGTAATTTTTCACTTCCCTAACTCTACTTGAGCCCCCAGTCCACTGCCTGCCCTACTACCTCATTCTCCCTTTAAAATGCCCAATAACCCCTGCGCAAATGGAAATGGAGCTCAATTCTTTCCCCTCCCATCAGTAGTTACAGAATAAAAATCCATTTTCTCCACTTTAACTAATGTCTGGCTTTATTTAACTTTGATGCTACTCATACTCCAAGACCTGGCCCCAATGTTACCTCCTCCAGAAATTTTCTTTCCTTGACTCCCAGGATGGTGTTTGTCACTATTATATATATAAGCCCATACAACTTCTAGCAGACATATACAAGGATACTTACTATATTAAGCTAAAATTTACTTTTCTTCTAGTCAAACTTCCAGCTAGACTAAAACCTTGAAGGTTGGAAATTGTGTTTTACTCATTTCCATATGCACTGAGCCAGGTATGTAACAGACTTTGAATAAACGCATATTGAGTGGAGATGGAATGAATAAGTGCATGAGTGCATCTCTGTGGGATGGTAAGGGTTAAGATGTGCTCTCTTTCCAGAGCTGTCCTTAAAGGAAGTGGAGACAGATGGAGAAGTGTGGTTGCAGAGTAAGGGGAAGGCAATTCCATTTCTCCAGGAGGAGATGAAGACCAGCCAGTAGAGACTTGTCCTTTCTTGCCGCTGAGAGATTTTCCACTCCCTTTTCTCCTTCGCAAATCTTTCTAAGTTTGTATGTGAAACCTTTCTCCCATAGGAACTGTGAAGAACCATTTTATATTCTTTATTGTAATACAGGGGTGAGGAAGAACTCTAATCCCTTCAAACAGCAGACAAAACTTGCCAACTGAAAAGGCTTCGCCTTGGCCAAAACCAGATGTAAATGTGTGATGTCAAGCCAATCTAAACTGTCCCATTGTTTTCAAGTGTGACTAAGTACTGACTAATATTACTTCCTCTGGCACTTTTTTTTTTTTTTTGACTCAATAGAATGGAAAAGTTCCAGGCCGTTGTTATACTTTGCTGTCTGGACAGAATGACTTCCTGCACATCATAACCACTTGAGAGGAAAAAAAAAATGGAAGGGGGAAAAAATCTCCCAAGAGGTCCCTTAAGTTTAGCAATGGCTTTTTGTTCTTGTATTTTTTGGGGTTTTCTTGTTGTTGTCCTGTATTATTTACAAAAGCAACAAAGAAAATTGAAATCCAAGTTGGAAAGGACCCTGCCCAGGCCATCTAGCGGGGAGCCAACACTTTCCCTGCCCATCATGAGATCTGTGGCATCACCACAACATCCCCGCTAATCTTTTCAGGCTCAATGTAAACATTCTCTTTCTTCGGGAGCTCTGTTCCTTCCAAAACAAGTCCTCACGCCTTTGGGTTGCCAGCAGTTTCTTCTGCCTCCCTGTAGACTATTCCTCTTAGTTCTGCCTTCTGGGAAACAAGTGGTGTTTTGAATGAGTAAAGAGATTCAGAGCCTTGTTCCATGTGGACTACACCACTGGAGACAAGATTGGTAATGACTTCTCTCAGAGAGAAAATGGAGAAATGAACAGAACTGAAGCCCTGGGAATGTCTTCAAAGAGAGCAAACAGAGAAGAAGGACAGTCATTAAATGTGCCATTGGAAAATCAGAGGGGTTCCTTCTCCCACATCAGTGGCAGATGATAGACAGCCAAAATTGTCTAATCCAAGCCTTCAGACCAAATGAAGTCCAAATATTTCCTCCACTCCTTCTCTCCTTCCAAAATCTTGGAAGATGCTAGCCCCTGCTTCACCCAACTCCTCCTGACTGCAGTCTCTATTAGTTTCCACATTTAGTCTTAGTTCTGAAAATCAGCAGCCTCAACTTCTCCTCTTTCCCAACCAATCCGGTGGCAGAGGGAATGACTGTCCCATCCTACATTCCAGAGAAAGTCTGCTATCCCTGGGTAAAGAGGAAAATCTCCCCTCTCTGAGATTTTGCTCCTTTCCTTGCAAGAAGCTAGATACACTCACAAAGAGGCACAGTGCCCTTCCAAAAATCAACCAAAGCCCCTTCCAGATGTAGGATTCACTTTTCTCAGGGTGTGAGTCATTTCTATAACCATTGAGTTTCCACCAGTTTTAGGGTCAAATGAAAAGCCAGCCCCGACAGGGCCTTTCAGCTCCCTGGGAATTAGGAAGAAGTGTTCATTACCTGGCAGAGCTGATTGCCTTTTTCTTTTCAACTGTGATTGGTGGCCCAGAAACCACAGCCATCAAATACAGAGGCTCTGCTAAATCATCACTATTTCAGCTACTAATTAGGTCTAATGTTCACAGCAGAGGAGTCTGTGGGGGCAATAAACCACTCCTTTAAGTGATTAAACTTCCAAGTGAACACACTTTGATTACCACAAGAACCATTCCCTGGCAAAGGTTCTCTGAGGCAACAGCATCCCCAAGATACAGCTTTGTAAATGGAGGATCAGAAGCCTGAAATTCTGTGTGTGCAGGGGCACCCCGTCTCCTCTGACCAGACTCCTCTGGTTCTGTTGAGATGCTTCAGGGGACTACTTATGTGACAAAGTTAAAGAAGTTTCAGTGAATAGCAAGTTCACTGGCTCACCGACAAGTGCCCAAAGGCTTGGGCCATCGCAGGGAGAATGACTAGAAGCACAGCTGGGAAGACAGTCATCTGCTACTTCTGAGGGATTGGGTCCCCTGCCCCTTGGTTCCACTTTAAAGGAGTGGGTTTAGAGAAAGGCACCATGGTGGTGAGGAAACATGGTGGTGAGTGAGCACTGTGCTAAGTACTTCCAAGTGAGTTATCTTACGGCAAAAACATAGGCATTTGCTCCAGATCTTCTTCAGAAGTATTCACTTAATGTGCATTAAAAAAGAACTACACATGAGTTGCATGCTCATTGTAGAAAAATTGGAAAATGTGAACAAGCAAAAAAGAAAGTTGTAGTATTCCATAAACCCACATCTAAAGAAGGATTTCTTAACCTCAGCACCCTGACATTTTGAGCTGGGTAATCCTTTGTTGTGAGGGCTGTCCGGTGCATTGTAGGATGTTTTGCAGCATCTCTAGCCTCTACCCACTAGATGCCATTAGTACGCTGTCCCCCACATTTGGAAGAAGCAAAAATATCACCATATATTGCCATATGCCCCCAGCAGTGAAGTCACTCCCACTGAGAACCACTGCTCTGGAGATTACTGGTAATGTCATTTTCTAGTCTTTATTCCTGTATACATACAAGTGAATGCATATTTTTAAATGGAGTTGTAGTATATCCATTGTTTTGTATTTTCATTTTTCACTGAACTATAGATCCTGAACATTTTCCCATGTTGATACCTGTTCCACAACCTCATCCTAACCTCTCTTTTATGCTCCATGGCATAGCTGTGCCATGACTTATTTCATTCTGGTTGTAGGACATTAACAGTATCTCCAAGAGCAATGAGAGTATTAAAACAAAAACAAAACAAAAATATTGTGCCTCTTTTGCCTTCGAAAATGGGAAGAGGGTGGAATAATGCATATGAAGGGGAAAATAAATCCTACTGTGTCCTTCCACTTACAGAGGCCACTGGGGGAGCAAAAAAGGGAAAGAAACCTTAAGACTTTTTTGTGCTGTTACCGGGTAAGATCCTGAGTTGAATCCATTCATGAGTCTCTGGTTAGGATGGGGTAGCAATTGAGGAGCAGAGAGCCAGGTGAATTTGAAAAATATAACGGAAGGGAAATAACTGAGGGATGAATAGGCAAGGAGGAGACCAAGAACAAGGGATCCTGGAAAACAGAGATGAGTAGATGGAAAGAGGTTGAGACTGGAGGTTGCTAAAAAATGTAGTTGTCTGCTGAAGGTCAACCCCTTCATTGTCCAAATCCTTAGTGAAAGTTGATCACACTGCTTCTTTGTGTCCAAGGTATCTGGGGGAGTGAAGGCTATTTGGAGTGGATTGTATTGTACAGAGTGGTATTATTCAGAAAAGGGACATGTGCAAAATACACGATGGGGACAGAGAATTAAACAGATTTTGGAGGCATAGGCAACTCAAAGAACAAGAATCACCAGAGATATTGGGATTGTGGTCGCAGGGTTTCCCCAGCACATGAGATGAGCATCTGAGCCAATCTTGGTTAAATGTTAAAGGCCAAGTTGACCTCAGCAGGATAAAGGATTTAAAGACTATCCAATCAGCAAAGACTTAAATTACACCTTTTTTTTTTTTTACTCTTATAAACAACACTACATTGAATACCATTGTGGTTAAATATTTGCAAACAACTTAATTTTTTTCTTTAGGCTAATATTAGAAATGGAATTTCTGGGCCCAAGAGAATGCACATTCTTAAGGTTTCTAGTACATATTGTCAAACGCTTGTCGAGCCTGAGAAGGTTTTAGTAATAATTTACAATTTAACTATACCACCAACAGGTTATGACAGTTCCCTTTTCCCCTTTATTTCACCAACATTGGTATATGTTCTTCCCATTTTACAGGAGAGAGAAATGAGGCCTGCCCATGTTCATAGAGTGGTGGAGCCAAGAACCAGAGCCCACAGCTTTCTGACTCCGAGTCCTGAGCTTTATCCACCACATTGCCTCCTTTATCAGAACTGGGAGTACTTAACTTTTGGGGGACTGAGTCTGTTACTCCTCTGTTTAACCTCATTTCTCTTAGGCTAAAGTCCAAACTCTCAGTGGCTTGGAAAGCCCTTCACAATCTAGTCCCTATTCACTTGTCTGCCTTTTCATTACCTTGAATTTTTTAAGCTCTCATCATACAAAATTTCTTTAAGTTCTCAAATGTACTTTGCTTTCTTTCTTGCCTCAGAGCCTCTGCCCCTGCTCTTTCCTCTCTCCCCACCCATCTTTGCCTGGCTAATTTCTGCCCATCCTTCGTATTAAACCTAAAGATCAGTCCCTTCATGACCTTGAAATTCTGGGGTATGCACCCTTATCACTCCCATGTGCTTCTAAGCACTTTTTACTTCCCTGGGATAGTACCTATTAGGTGAGTTGTAATTCCTGTCTAATTATCTGACTTCCTTATTAGTCTTTAAGCTACTTGGACAAGATCCATGTTTATAAAACCCAAGATCAATTCTTGCTGAGCGGTGCATTCCCCTTTAGACTAGGCAGCTACATGCCACGTTACCAGAGTCCCAACCACTTTTGAGGGTTAAGCAGCTTGCCTCACTCCTCTGTGTTCCCTGCTTGGCATCTATAGGCATTTGAGTACACCCTTCTTTCAATAGACAGATGTATTTCATGTTAATGTCAGGAAGAACCTTCCAATATTAAGAGCTGTTCAACAACAGAGTAGACCCTCTCTTTTTTATGTTGTAAGATGGTCTTCATTGCTTCTTAGTAACACCCAGTCCTCCCAATATGACTGAAGAGGCCAGAGGTCAGGAATGAGCCTGCCACCCTCCCAACCAGGCCACCCTACATGTGCCAGGTGGTCTCTGAGTGGGTGTGGAGCCAAATCAAACTAAATGACTGTCTTGGCAACAGATAACTTTCTAAGACTCCAACTTGCTTTCAGCCCAGCCAAAGGCTTGCCGCTCTGAGGCAAATGTCACTGTGGTGGAGTTGTCTTAATGAGAAGGCATGCTTGCCTCTCTTCTGGGGGAGTTTCCTAGAGCGATGCTCTTAGAAACTCCTTGGCAGGAATCCTGAGCCAGGCTTGGCATTGACAGCGTCCTCCTGCTGGCATTAACAAGCCTCTTATTTAAATGTAAATGAGCTCTCAGTGCCAGTTTGTGAGCGAAACACATCGCTTGTGTTAAACCAGAGATGGGAATGCTACAACACACCAAATGTCGGCTCGGTTTCCACTTCCCCACCACATCCGTAGTTCTGAGTGGAGCTCTCTGTGCCTTGTCTTCTGCAAAGTTGGGAGTCCTCAGACAACAGGGAGAATTTGTGGAGTCTGGGGCCCTATTTATAGCCCTAAATCTTCTTTGATGTGACCTTGATCACATTAGATGCCACTTCCCACTCCCCCAGTCCCAGTCCCCACCAGTGTCCCTTCATAGACTTTGTTGGGGGCTTGTGCTAGGGAAGATGATCCAGGGTACCAATGGTGCCTGCTGTCCCTAACTGGTCCTTAGACTGGTTTGGGACTCCTATGGAGAGAAGGGTTTGAGGCTGATAGGATCTGGAGGATTTGCACAAGCCTTTGTGAGACTGAACACCGAGAACTGCACATAAGGCAGGGGGAAGGAGGAGATGCTGTCCTGCCTTCTTCAGGAAACCAGTGACTGTCTTGCATCCTGCAGATTAGAAACCTTGGCGACAGAAGCCTTGAAACCAGACCTGATGTTCTCACAGGGGTGGGTGGAAGCAGTAAGGTGTCTATCATTCTGCGGGAATCAGATACGGACCTGTGAAAGTAGAGGAGAAAGATTAGGGCAGTGGTGGTTGTTGCTGACACTCTGCTTTGTGGGTCCATGTGGATCTCCTCTTTGAGGGCTTCCAACTATAGATGGGAGATATCTTAACGGAAGCTAATTTCTGGCAACCAGGCCAGTAGGAGTTTGTATTATCATAGTTTCAGTGAAAAGAATCTTCTTTGCTCTTTTTTTTGGTAGTCACAGACTGGTAATGCCTGAGGCATTTCAACTACACTCCAAAAATAAAAGAAGAGGGTCCTGCCTGGTGCTGCAGCAGTTAAGTTTGCGTGCTTCACTTTGGAGGCCCAGGGTTCGCCGGTTCGGATCCTGGGTGCGGACCTAAGCATAGCTTGTAAAGCCATGATGTGGCAGGTGTCCCACATATAAAGTAGAGGAAGATGGGCAGTGGTATTATCTCAGGGCCAGTCTTCCTCAGCAAAAAGAAAAGGATTGGCAGCAGATGTTAGCTCAGGGCTAATCTTCCTCAAGAGCAAAAAAAAAAAAAAGAAGAAGAAGAACAGCATGGAAATAACGCTAGATTCTTTCCCCAGAGTCAGGAAATCTGTTGTTTAGTTCTGGCTCAGCCTCTAAGCCATAGTGTGAAGTTGAGCAAATTTCTTTCCCTCAGGAATTCAGTCTTCTCATCTGTAAAATGAGGCAATTGGGCTAAATAAGCCCAAAGAAGAATATATTGAAGAGCAGAGTAGAAACCAAATGTTCATTAATTCATTCTTTTAACAAATATTAAGTTCTTGCTCCTGCTGTGTATCAGGTAGTGTGCTAGGCTCTGCAGAGAGGATGGTGGAGAAGAACAGATGTGAGCCTTGTCTATATGGAAGTTTTGGTCAAGCAGGTGAGACAGCCATAATTAAAGGGGAAAAATAAATATAAAATTATAACTGTGATAATGCTATGAAGGTGAGAGAAATGGCTCTTTGGGAGTATAAATAGAAAAATTTGGGGACTCTAATCAATGCGTGTACTTTGTAGTTCAAGACAGCAAGAATATAGAAAGTAGCATGAGAGGGAGAGTGTCTAAGTGTGTACAGTGGATGATGCATGTGCAGGAAAAGATAAGACTAGGGGTGGGGGCCAGGCAGGGCATGATTATAGAGAAGGAAAATGGCGCCACACAAGCCAAGAAAGGAGAGCGTTAAGAATTAAGTAGTAGGTAAGAACTTGATAGAAAAGGCTGTGCTTTGCTTATCTCCTTTCTCCCCCTTTGCCTACACACACAACAATTAGCATAGAGCCTGGTACTGACTGGATGCTCCATGTATGCTTGTGGAATGAGTGAGTACATTTTTCTTAACTATGCAAAAGAGCAAGACTCAAAGGGCTGAATGAATTATACAAGGTCACTTAATTTGTTGGTGGCCAGAGATAAGATTGAGATCCAACTTTAAGATCATACAGTTCTTGAAAACAGAATTATTTTCATAACTGCAACCTCAGAACCTACTCCTAAGCAACAATTTCGACTCCAAGAGGGGTCTGAAGAGGAAGGGATCATCAGAAAGACAGCGCTTCAAGAGACACACTCATCCTCCTTCAACGCCTCATTAATGTCACGCTACAACCATTTGCCTTGTTCACAGAGACAAAGAAGGAAAAGGACCTTGCCTGAGACAATCTCTCTCTCTCTCCCCTGGTGCACTTTTTCTTCCCCTAAAGGAGCATTGGAGAGAAATGCTGTCTGGAAGGCTGACAGCTGGGCAGTCATCAGATTTACAGCAGCAGTAGAAGAGGTCAGAGGCTAAGTGGAAAACAGTGTAGATATAAAACATCCACTTCCTTGAAATATTGTCTTCCTCTGTGAAATGGACATAGGAAGTGATCTATCGTTCTTTGGTTCTCTTCATTTATGAAGTTTCTGCATTACCTTCTAAGTGTAAAACCTCCAAGCAGAATGCTTCCGACATTCGCCAGGTGCTGCTGGGCAGTTGGTCTGGTGAGGCACCTCTGAGTGCTTCTGCAAATGAGAGCAAAAGAAGACTACAGAACTCGCCTCGAGAAGTCTGAGTACCGCTGGGGCTCAGGCAGCCCCATTAGCCTTTGGCTTGAGCACTTGAATTACGGAAATGGTTTTCACATCGGTGGCATTCATACTTGGAAGAATATAGTGCAACCTGATGTCCATTCCATGTCCCTGGAACTGACTGTGCTTCTTGCACTTTTCAAAGTCAGAGAGGAAGCAGCCTTGGCCTCACAGTCTAAAAATCTACCCCAGAGTTAGCTGTATCCAACTAAGTTGTATTCTCTAGTTGCCTGTATGGCACAATTGAACAATTTATTTTCTGTGGATTGTATTTACATATGTAATGTGGACACCTGTGATGTGGGGAGTGTTGATGTGCAGCTAGGCTGAGTTCCTCCTAAGATGGAGAGCTGTCTGCAGAGGACTGAAATATCTATGGGGTAGGTCAGCAGGTGACTACTGGCAGTGGTGACCAAGAAACCTGCTAGGAAGGAACGTTTCTAAGGGACGAGAGCCAGTGGAGGCCTCTAACAAAGGTCCACAGAATATGGGCCTTGGGGAAAGGAGAGGGGTCATTCTCAGGGTATTGTACCCGTTAGACTCTGGTCTGTCTGCCTCCTCAACTCATGCCAGAGCTCAGGAAAATGGGTACTCATAATAAATTCATAACGATGGTTTTATTAAAGCCTGTAAAGATTAGGAGCACCAGGCAGCTCCAAATTGGAGCTGGAAGTTCCATGGAATATCACCTTACAAAACATAGAGGGAGGCAGCAGGAAGCAGCTGTGATGCTTTGAGGGTGAAACTATGAGTGGTGTCTGTACCTTTGAAGGCTACATGCACTTGAATTTGGGACAGCGGCATGGAGAGTTTGCCTCAGTCAGTGGCCAGAGTCAACAGAAGGAACTGGAAGGAGCAAAATGAAATATTCCAAATGATGCTGTGTATGGTAGCACACATGAGTCACTCCCTCAGGCTGCTCAGAAATAGCTTGAGAGAACTTTACAGAGGACCGTTGATGTTCAGGTGTGGATAAGGACCAGGAAAGGACTGTTTGGGAACTAAAATCATGCCCCCACACTTACTGCCAGGCTAGTGTGGCATATGGAAAACATGTGATTTGCTAGTGTTATTAATACATGCTTCAGTAATAATACTTCAGTACATTGCCTAGCTTATAATAGTCAATAAATGTTACATACTTCTATAAAAATTTCTAATACTGACACATAAACAAAATAAATTGATTATCCACAACTATAAGACACTACCTTCATTTAGGAATTATTTATGTTGTCTGCATGTAAAATTTTCATAGATATATATTTTTTCGCATATTATTTTTCACACATACATATTCTCTAACTGTTCATTGTTTCTGGAATACCTGTTGTATGTCCTCCAACTAGAGTAAGAATCAGGGCTCTTTCACATGATCTACTAGGAAGATCAGGCATGTTATCTTGTATTCCCTTTTGAAAGACTGATTGAAGCTCATAAACTTTAAAAATTGATGAGCCTCACAGAATCCCAGCTCCCATGTGCCTTCGCCTGACATCTTTCCACCATTTTCCCTTTAATAATATTTAGGGAGAAGGGCAAGAAAGGATGGTTTTCATGTCAGCCATGTGGTTGTCACCATATGGAGGTATGGATATCCTTTTAACCAACATCTGCCTCTGGTTTAGAGGAATGAAGGGGGTGTAAACCTTTCCAGTACATCAGAGATGTTCTCTGCACATGTTTAGAAAGATTTCTAGCATCTTCCCTTCTGTTTCCCACATATCACCCAAAACAGCAGGAGACCATTGTGTAGAAAGAGAACTTCACAAGAAGTAAGGGCTGAGTTATCACTCAAGAACCACATTTTACTAACTTTGGCCATAGCCCCATCACTCAGCCTCTCCAAGCTTTAGCTTCTTCTCCTGTAAAATGAGAATAATGACACCAGCCCTGACTACTTTACAGGATTGTTGTGAAGATCAAACTAAATGGTGAATGTGCAAGTCCTTTGAAAACTATAGATCAATGCAAATAAGTCCTTTGAAAGCTACTGATCCATGCAAATGTAAGGTATCATTACTGCTGTTAAAGAAGGTGCTTCCAAAACACTTGTTGATTGTCTAGGATTATGGGGGTTTGCTGCTTTCTCTCCTATGAGAGGAGCTCCTGCCTGGTCGTCTGGGTCCTCTGCCAGTCTGACCAGTGCAGCATTTAAAATCTGATGACTGAGGCGCCATCCCTTACACCCTCTCCTACAGCAGAGGTCTTAAAGCTGGGCCCAAGAATTCTGAAGTGTGTGATACATTCTCAGGGGTGGAGAGCCCAGTGCTTCCAAGAATCCGAGGACCGGGCTTTCCCTCTTATTTTTCATTTTTGCCAGTTCCTTCATGCTTTCCTGGCTCAGTGGGAAAAAGTCTCAGTTTTGATCCTGCCATTGTGTGTTCCCAAATGAGTCACTTCCTAACGTGATGGCTTCAGTTCCTCAGCTGGTCAACTGGCTTTCTACCTACATGCACCAGAGCAGCTCCACATTTTCCCCTTTTTACATAAGCTTGGTGTTATGTAAGACATCACAAAAAAGATGCATTGCTAATTTCTCTAGACAACTTGGACTAGATCTTTTTTTGTAAACCATAGGTGATCTCTGATACTCTTGGCTCTTACATGTGGATTCTATAATCCTTTCTTGGGAAAGTGATGTAATCAACTCTAAAACAGGAATATTCATACATTTTTAATTGACAGAGTTTTGAAGCAATGACTGTGTAAGTACCTGCGTGAAGGATTATTCTTGTCAATGGTTCTCCCATCATATGCTTAGGATGAATTTCAGCCTGACTGAATCTTGCCAAGAAACTCATAGGAAAAGCTCTGCTTTCCCCACAAATGTTAAGATGTCTTGACCTCAGAGTGTTTGTTAAACTTTCTATTTCACTCAAAGTTGGGTATCAAATCCATTTAGTTTTATGAGGCTTACCCATTAAAGACACTTGGCAGGTTTTACTGACTACTATGGCAAAGGCATAGTCTCTCCCAGAGCATGCAGAATTTGGGATAAGGAGTAGAAGCTTCCTTATTGATGTCCACACCCAAGAAATGACTTATCTTCCAGGGAACAACCAAGTAAATAAAATATGAGTAAAGCCAATATCTCACTGTGAATAGTTATGGGGGCCTTTCAGATTGTATTTTGCATGAAAAGGCCTAGGAGGCCGTGAGGCCCACTCCTTTGCCTTTAGTCTAAACTTGACCTAAGATTCTCTGTGCCAGTCTCCTGGAAATCATAGCCTAGGGACAGAATGAGATGCTGTTTGTATTAACCCAATGCATAGCAGTAATGCTAAAGGAGGAAGGCCAGGATCTTAAAAGTTAATACATCTGAGCTCATTCTCCTTGGGGCAGAGACAAGCCCTTGCGAATGAACTATTGGTCTTTCCTTCATACTGCAATAGGAAAGTGGCCACAGTCAGAATTATGGAATCTCAGCTTTGGAAAAGACCTAAGAGGTCAAGTTGTTCAACTTTTACTGGCAGCTGGAATCCCCTCTAAATTATCTCTTCCAAATAGTTGTTGAGCCAGTGCTTGATTATCTCCAGTGACAAGAAACTCACCCTCTGAGGAGCTCTACTGTTGAACAGTTCTATAAAAAGTCATTTTTTTTAATGCTGAGCTATCATTGACTTGAATTTCTCCCCACTGATTCTAGTTACATCCTCTGGTGCCACAGAAAAGAAGTTAGTTGAACAAATCTGTCCCCTTCTCCCAATGGCAATCCTTCCTTGATGTGAGCATAGTGAACATTCTCTCTTTTGAAAGGGAACGAACTTTTCATTTAGCTCCACCACATGCTAGCTCCTACTGTTACCTCCCATCAGCCTCACTATTATTGTATTGGGATGGGAATTACCCAGTGTTCATTAGCCCATTAAAGCTCAGAGAGATGGAATTCTACAGGGCCACCCAACTTGAAGGTGCCACATCAGGAATTCAGTACCAGCCCTAGAAAACCAATGCACTTTCAATTATTTTCTGCTGCTTTCCAGCACAATGGATCCTGGCAAGACCACTGGATGCTCCTATTCACATTTCCTACCTTAAAACAAACAAAGAAAATTAGAAAAGACATCTAAAATTAAATGGTGGCTATGACTGCCTATCTTGGTGCTGGAGATCCTCAAGTGTGAGGTTACCTCTGAAATCTGAAGGTCTAGAACTCGGCAGGAAACTCAGATACAAAATACTCCTTTGAGACCAGCTCAGAGAGTTGCGGTTCAGAGCCACGTTGCTGCTCTCCAAGGCAGCAATCATTGCGTGGCAATATATTCAAGAGACAGTTAAAAAATATCTCTTCCCCATTTAGTGCTTTAGAAACAGAATCTACTGCCTAATTGAGAATCCTTTCTGCCTAATTACTCCGTTCCCAATTTTTTTTAAGCATCAGAGTTTCTGTGGAATTACGTACTGTATAATTTCATCATTTAGCAATATGTAAATCAGGAGAAGAAAGGAAGAGGGAGAGAGCGACAGGAGAGGGCTCATCCTTTGAATTTCTGTGCAGAAATGGCCAATGAGGTATGTGTCGACAAGGGAAGAGCCCCATGCTACATGGCAGAGCTGGGTGTGAGTTCCAGTTCCTCCAATGAATAGCTCTGTACTCTTCGGGAAAATCACATCGTCTTCCTGAGCCTCAGTTTCCCCTTCTGTCACATTGTGCACGTTTGTTCCCAGCACCTAGTCTAGAGCCCGGCACAGAGTAAAGTCTTGATAATTGCCTGGTAACTACCCAGTGAATGAATGAGTACCTGGTTTGCCTCCCTCAAAGAGTCATTAGCAGGGTGAAATGATATGATGGATGTGAAAACATTTAATAAACTGCAAAATGCTGATAAGGTATAGAGTGCTTTAAGCACTGAGAAAATACAGTTATAGCCCTAAATCAGAAAACACCTTTTTCTTACCTTGCTTGTTGATAAAGTGTTCTGCTTCTTTAG